CTCATGTTACACATCAAACAGTCCGATAAAGTTTCCTAAATTCATGTCAATATTCAGGGATACATACCATCAATCATAACCTCAAAGTCTATTCATCAATTTTCCTAATTCTCCCAAATCAACCCAACACATCCTAAATCATAAACCCCACCATAAACACACCGAAAGGCATATATAGAAAATCATGAAATGCGATACTCTCAATACCTTAGTCGATTTGCAGCTTTCACGATTAATTTATGGGATCTTCTGCTTCCAGCCTTTTCTTCAAAGCTCTGGCCACCAACTTTCACGTTAAACACAAAATGAAATCTAATTTCCTTTCAGAACTCAATTTTGTCTAACTTAGTCTTGGGCCTCACAAATTGGGCTTTTCCCATAACACCCTTACTAACTCTTCATAATGCCCAATTTACCCTTATTTCCCTTATATTCATTTTAATAATAATAATACTAATATTCTCATATAGTATACTATTAATTAAATAAATAATCCAACATGCACATCTTCTCAATAATTCCCAGAACCACCGAAAACACCAAAAATACGAATATTCTCAATTAAATAAATTAATTAAAATATTCCGATTAAACTTGAGGTGTTACATCACTCATGAGCTTTGTGAATATTCTAGAACCGTGCTACATTGTAGCAAATATCAATCCACATTTATTCCCCCATTTCATTTTCAATTGAATTCTACCATACAACCTCATTTTAAACCAAGTGCTCTTGTGATTTGCATCCGAGTCAACTCATAACTAACCGAGTTATCGATTCAACTCATTGAGTTAAGTCTAACTAACTTCATACCTAGGTCCAAAACTCACCCCAAGTCAATTTTCAAGCCACATTTTGCTCCATACCTATTTGCTATTTAAACAAACCCCTCTCATTCTTGCAAAAGGAAAACCATTATTCACCAAATTTTAGAATTTCTACACATCACACTTTCTATTATCTCTCACATTTGTAGAGCTTTTCACTCACTCTATGCATTTTCATCATCTTTCCTAACCCCACCAAAGCTCCACCATTAAAGTTAACAAAGCTTTTCATTGAAGTTTGTCAATCTTTGAGCCTAACCTTTATTTTATCACTTCCTCTACATCAAGTTCTACAACAATAATTGGTTCTACTTCAGAGCTTGGAAGTTGATTCTTGAAGTGATTTTCGAAGTAAATCCGGAGTTGATCGATTCATTGCATTGTTCTTCAATTTTCTTGTGAGGAGCTGCTTGGATCTCTGGTTTTCTAGATTACATTCATCATGTTCAGTTTGCAGTATTTACCAAGGTAAATTTCAGCATTATAGATTGGTAATTTTTGAATCTAACACTCTTTCGGCTTATTTTGCATTTTTCACAATGTAGTCTCTTGTGATTTATGTGTTGTTTGATCCATGGATTCGTATGATTGAGTGCATTGGTGTTTGTTTGCTCATAATTGCTGTAATTTTCGTGTTCAATTGCATGCTCTAACATCCTGTATTGTGCAGATAAGTGATTATGAAAATAAGTTGTTTCTGCTGGTTTTTGTTGTTTTGACACAGTGTAACCGGTTACTCAATTCCAGGTAACCAATTACCACCCTGCTGCGCGCCCTGGGAAGTGATTTTTTTTAATGTGGTAACCGGTTACCCATATTTCTATAACCGGTTACACCTGGCAGTTTTTGTGTTTTTCTTGCTGTTTTGGGACTGTTGTGGTTCCTTCCCATTTCTATCCTCCATTGCTTGATATGTTTGATATTTATGGATCTTGAGATGTTTAGCTTTCTTTTATTGTGCCAATTTGGATTGGTGATTGATTTGCTCACATGCTTGCTTGTTTAAGTTTCATGAGTTGTTCAATGGCATGTTAATGCTTGCTTACTTGAACGTGTGCTTGCTTAAGCTTGTTAATATATGTTGTTATTCATGGATTTTTGTTGTTTGCTTGATTGTTGTCCTTGCATGATCCATTAGGAGTCCCTTGATTCACTTTAATTAAATTATTTAGTTTGATTAAATTGACATAAAGGTAGACTTTAGGTTTAAATCTCTTTGCATGAAAACATTATAGGTTTTTCCTTTTTAAGTGCAATTTTAATGCATCTTGTGCTTTTCATACAATCATTAGATCATTTCATACGACTAACCATTCTACTTTGTTTTGTGAGGTAATACTTGGAGAATTTACCGTTTGGACATGTGAACTTTAATCTTACTGTTGTACTTTTATGGTTCATTCCCTTTCATGCCTCAGATTAGGTTCCCCCTCTTGTTGGGTTTCTCACACTTCCTCATCCCTATTTACAATGTAATAGTGTAGGTTTTTTTTAATATGCTTGCATGCTTGCTTTATTGTTAAGAAAGATAAAAATGAAAGCGTTTAAAAAACAATTTCAAAACAAAAAGATAAATAAGGCTTGATCAACATCAAGTATTTTTTCAAACTTATTAACTTGGATTGTTTATCATACCTCACCTTAGGGTTCCTTCATTTATTTTCCTCTCCCTTATCCAATCATTCCATAAACCCAAGCAAGCCTTGTATGCTTTCACCCTTGTAAGTCGATTGCCTTGCGCATCGCCATCAACTTACCCTGATCTAATCATCACCCTTTCACTCACTTTTCATCATATCCTTTCTTCCTAAGCAAAAACATTGGTCTTGTGTCAAGTGCATTTCCATATGCTTTTCTAAATAAACTTGGATGGTTGTGGAGTGGTTAGGTGAAAGCTTTTTCCTATCCCGAGTGTTTGGCACTACCTTTAGGGTTCACAGTCTAAAAACACTCACCATCCAAAGCAAAATACCTCTGAAATAAAATGAATATTTTCCTCCTTGTATTGAACTAAAGAGGGGGGATTTAGTGAGGACTTCTTCCTCTCCGAGTATTAGGATGCTCACTTTAGAGTGTGTGATCTTGATACCCGTCTTTCAATACAAATATGTGACTATATTCACCACACCATTTTCAAAGAAAATCTTTTGAGACAAAAAATTAGGTACTACCCGTAGGGGTTCCTATCCGAGGACTTATTTTACCTCTAAAATCAATAATCACAAGTCAAATGTGACATCTTGCCTCGATGGCGAAAACCTAAGCCTTTCAAAAAGGGCATGTTATTTTCATCCTACCGCATAATAGGCTAAAGCATAAGTCTCCTTACGTGCAAGCGGCAAAACCTATTGCTAGGATGTGAATGTTAACATCATCCACTAAAAGCAAAAAAACATGTGGTTCCATGAACTACGGACGCTCTGATTCTTTATTGGTCAATGAAGATAAGTAGGCACGAGATTGTGAGATCTTGGTGAGCTACCTTCTCTCACAACCTACTTTATTTTTCTCCCTAGTTTTCCGAACTACGGAGCTCTGATATCTTCATTCCACCGTGAGGGTACGTAGGCACGAGGGCTCCAATCCTCCACGAGCACACTAATTTAAAACCTTTTCCCCTTTAGTAAAGCATTCATAGAAAGCATACACTACAAGAAAAAAGGAGATTTACGACACTTGAGTTGCGACAGTTATCTCAAAACCGTCCTTATTCCTTGATTGCGACGGTTGTCACGACAGTTAGGGTCAACCGTCGTAGATTTTTTGCGACAGTTATAAAAAAACCGTCCTTATTTCTGGACTACGACAGTTCTCACGACGGTTTGAGTCAACCGTCGCAAATTTTTTAGGCATGTTGTATAAAATAATGTGACAGTTACCAAAGAACCACCCTCTTTTCACACTCGCGACAGTTAAGGCGAACTGTCGCAATTACTTTAGCCAATCATAATTACTATTTTTTTATTCCTTTAATTTTCCACTTTTTTCTTTCATTTTTATTTTCTAACATTTTCAATTTTATTAATTAATTTAATAAATAATTATTATAATTATTATAATTTTCATGACAATGTAGCTTAATATTTTTGTCTAAAATAATAGTAAAATATTTTCTTTTTTATTATATAAATAATTAACTTTTATTAAAATTAATTTTGATAACAATGTTAATATATATATTCACATCATTTCATCATTTCGACAATAAAATTCACATCATTTCAAGAATTTATATGCATAAACTTAAAAAAGGATTTAATTTGGGTGTAAACATTAAAACATTAATCTCTTTTATTTAAACAATAAAATTAAAAAACATATTTAGAAAGAAACACAAATTATATTTTCTTTTGTTTTGGGTCTAATATAATTTTAGGATCTATAGATTCATTCTCTAATGCTTATCTTAAATCTTAAACTCTTCCATCTAATTCTAAACCTGCAGTTCCCTTAGAAAAATCCTAACCCTAAATCCCCAAATTCACATTCAACAACAACGAGTATGCATCAAGAACTCACATCTCCAAAATGCAAAAAGAAGTTTTCGAAGGAAACATTTCCAGACTCCTTCGTAACGAAATTCAATACGAGATTCAATCCTCCTCTTCTTCCAAACCAGTACATCATTTTCCCCTTTTCGTAATTTGTGGTTGTGTGTGTAATTGGTTTTTGTTTATTTTCAATCCTCTGCCCCATTGTATGATTTTTTTTTAATCTGTTGTTATTTTCTATTTTGCCTGAATGTATCCGTTTTACTTTCTGACTGAAAAATGTATCATTCAAATGTGAAACCAAGAATGCAATAAGTTTGTCAAATATCTTCTATCCAAATTGAGTCAGGATTATAAACAGCAAAACCTAGCTAAAGAGATGAGGCATTGCATTAGTTTATCTTCTATAGTAGTTCCGAAGTTAAACAGGTAGAGTTGTCCCTCTTCATAAAGGGGTTGGGTTCCGCTCAACGAATCAGATTGTGCTTCCCAATTCAATCTTTTAGAAATAGCATATCCTTTGTGATTCTTCAGCCATGTGATATAGCTTCTGCAATATCAGAATTTGTATCATTCGAGTGTCTTGGTTATATTGTTGGGCATGTGAACGTAACAATACTCGGTGCCTTTTTTATATAAATTTTTTGTACTTGCCTCATTGGAAACCTTGCCACATTCCTTATGCAAAAACATATAGATAGCAGAACCTCATGGAGCTTTGATGTTAGCTATATGAATGTGGCTGCATCTTCTATCTATGGTTATGCAATAGTGGTCCCCGTGGCATACTACTTCTTCCTTCAGTATATGGGTTCAAATGCTAGCCTTATAAGGTTTTGGTGCATGTGGGGATATTCTCTTTCCATTTTCATCATCTCTTCGGTAATTTTATGCTCTCCAATGTGGGAAATTGTTAATTGCTTTTACTGTAAAATAATATAGCACAACTCTATTTTAGACCCTTTAAATATGGGAAAATTGACCGAGACACGACACAACAAAGTGAGGAACTCCTTAAACTTTGGTTAAAAGACCTTTTGGTCTAAACTCAAATCCCTGATCAGCAAGTAACCATTTAAAACAAAGTTTTCAGGAGATTATAAGATTACAAAGCAAAAGGGTGATCAATGTTTTTATAATAATAATGATATATATCATATTATTTTACGAGTATGATAGTAACTCAATGCAAGAGAAACTTGTGTTGTTCTAGATCAATGTTGAGGCACCCAATAACAGAAATCTCAAAAACTGCCTCCACTCTACTCCCATGGTCTCCTTCCTATCAGCCTCTCTCTTAGAAAACTGCCCACATCAAATAATAAATCCTTGTCCTTCAGCCCCGTTGTTGGGCTTAGGCTCAATATCCTATATACTGAATTCTTTTTGATATATTTTGTTTTATGATAAAAAATTATGTATTTTAGAAGTTCATACTGAGTTTATATTAGTTGTGATAACAAATTGCATCATTTGCTAGCTAATTATGCTTTAATTTTGTGTAATATTTTCGAGATGCTATCTAATTTATATTTTACTTGGGATACTTTCAGTTCTTGTTGATGATTCCATTTGAGATTCTTTGGTGGATCATAATGCTCCTTACCGGTGTTGCGGCAGCTAACTTTATTGCCCTAAACTTGAGATCTTAGATTGAAGGCAATGATTTTTCAGTGGCGATTATTGCTGCTTTTTTCTTGCAAATAGGTCTGGCAGTCGTCATCAAGGTTTGGTTCTTTGCATAGAAAGATGCATTGTAATAGTGAATAATAAGTCCCTACTATACCATTGTTAGCCCGCTCCATCGGCTACGAGAGTGTAGTCTCTGCAGCAGATTTTGCTTGATTTTGTGGATTTACTAGAATGGGGTTAGAAAGAATTGCATAGTAATGCTATTTCTTTATTGGCAAGGTCTGTGTTTGTATCATTTTCACCTGTTGCATTGAGAAGACTAATATTTTGGAAGAGAAAAAAAGAACAATAGTTGAGTGTACAAGAACTTTGCTTTGAATTATAGCAAAAAGTTATATTTTGACTAGATACTTCATGGCTACAAGAACTTTCATGGATGCACCAGTCTCAGTTGATAACAAAACCGCAACAGCTATATTTCAATACAAAGGAGTTTCAAAAACTATCATCCCTTCATTTCCTCAACTACCTAACGCAAATGACACAAACTTTGCTTTGAATCATAGCAAAAAGTTAAAGAGTTTGAATTCTGCTAAATATCCTGCTAATGTTCCTCTCAAAGTTGACATAAACCTTTTTTACATCATTGGTTTAGGCATGAATTCTTGTCCTACATGCATCAATGGAACACGTTTAGTTACATCTCTTAACAATGTTACTTTTGTGATGCCGAAAACCGTGCTTTTAATTCTACAGTTGAGCTTGTTTTTCAGGATACTAATCTTCTTACTGTTGAATCACACCCATTTCATCTTCATGGTTATAACCTTTTTGTTGTTGGAACTGGTGTTGGTAATTTTGATCCTGCCAAAGATCCTGCTAAATATAATTTGGTTGATCCTATGGAAAGGAACACCATCGACATTCCGACCGGTGGTTGGACCGCAATTAGATTCAAGGCCGATAATCCAGGTATATTTTATTATTAATTAAATATGTAGTCGAAGGTATATTTTTTGAAGTCATAAATTTTTTGGTTTTGAAGCAGAACATTTAAGATGTCTTTAATCATTTTTCTTCTGTTAGTAGTACTTACTTTACAATGGTTTGCTGAATTTGTACTTATTTTACAATGGTTTGCTGAATTTCAACTTGCCTCTTTGTTATATCACTACAAGAAAATTATCAATCTACAACACTAAAGTCACGACAGTTTGCTAGAAACTGTCCCTCCTCATGTTCTATGATGGTAGCTGCAACAGTTTGGGATAACCACCTCAGCCTTTATACAACAAATTAAAAGATTCAAGTGATTCAGTATACCACATTCATATTCAGGTTTGTTCATTGTTAGCACAACCTATTATTCATTGTATGATTTTGTGTTCAATCCCTATCATCAACTCAAACAGTAGAACCAATATTTGTTGAATACATTGGAAAGTATCAGCTTAATTTTATTTACTGTTTTATTCAATTTTGGTTATTGATTATATATGTAAGGTTTCCAACTTGTTCAGATCAGAATCCTTAACTATTATTATCATTTTGTCTTCACTAAATGGATGAAGATATATGGATTGTGTCTTGGGTTTCTATGGTGGATGATATTGTTGGTTGATTAATGTCTTGGGTTTCTATTTACTGTTTCATTCCTTTTGGTCAATGGAGGAGGTTGTTTGAATTTCAACAATCTTCTCCTACAAACCACAACAATCAACACAGCACAAACCTTTTCATACCATCTTGTGATGTTTTTTCTCTCCCTTTTTTTCTTCTGATCATGGTACGATTCAAAATGTTTCATTAGAATTTACGAAATTTTAACATGATGTTATGATTTCACTTTTTATAAGGAATGTTTTGATTTGATGTTTCATGTCAGGCACTTTGAATTGGAAGGAATTATTAGAGATTCTTCTTTAAGGTACAAAGATTTTGTCTTCACTTTCAAAAATTGTTTTGATAAATGTACTAATGATTGGTTTTTTCAACTGTTTCATAGGTTTAATGTTTGTGGAGAATTTCTCAAGGTTCATATCAGGGTGGTCTTTGTCTTCGACAGTTACAACTAATTCTGTTGTTAGTTTGTTGAACTCAGTGATTGAATAAATGAATGAATGATTCTATATATAAGAATTTCGGATTGATTAAGGTTTGAGCTTTGAAGATTCCATGTAAAGGACATTTGTGAAAAACTGAAATTGGGGATTTATTTTCCTGATTATAGTTAATTGTTGTGTTGGTTAATTGATTTCTGAGGGCCATGAAATTTCTAAGTTTGGTTGGAAATTCTTTTGGACGTTCTGCATCTGAGGAAAGGCTAGTTTCTGCAGCAAGAGATGGTGATGTTCAAGAGGCTAAGGCCTTGTTGGAATATAACCCCCGTCTTGTGAGGTATTCGACGTTCGGAGTTCGGAATTCTCCTTTGCATTACTCGGCTTCTCATGGCCACCATGAGGTATAATTCAAAATTCAATGTACTCATTTACTTGTTTCATTTTTTTCGCAGTTCCTCTGAACAGATCGTGTTTTCCATTAATGTAGATAGTGTATCTCTTGCTTGAATCTGGCGTTGATATAAATCTCAGGAATTATCGCGGTCAGGTAATAATACGATATTATTTTGTTGTCGAATAGTGGCTATTGCATCGTAGCATAATGGAATTTGGACAAACTAATACACAATTAGTACTAATTTCGGCTATAACGGTATTATGATGCTGTAGAATAGCAGAATTTGAACAAACCGATATTATGTACGATCTGCAGAAGAAAACATTGATTTAATGCATACTTTTTTTACTGTCTAAAACTTTTTGTTCGCTTACTTTACGATTTATTTATTATACCGATAATAGACTGCACTGATGCAAGCTTGCCAACATGGTCATTGGGAGGTGGTTCAGACTCTGATCCTTTTTAAATCGAATGTATGATAATTACTGCAAATCGACTTTGTACTATTTTTTAACGAGATAAATTATCGGTGAAATGAGTTGTAAAAGATTGGTTGTTAAATTGGACTGCAGATTCAGAAAACTGATTACCTAAATGGAGGTATTGCCCTCCATTTGGCTGCTTTGAATGGCCACACTCGGTGCATTCGGTTCCTTCTCGTAGATTATATACCAAGCATCCCTAACTTTTGGGATGTATTACAGACGGGCGATTACAAATCAATCGAAGAATTTGATCAAAGGTACTTAGAAGTCCTAATGTAAAATTTTAATCATCGATTAAAAATTGTTTCTGTAAGTTAATTTTGTTTTTGATCGGTTGCATACGAAGTGGTATTTGCGAGGTGATTAACAAAACTTCTGATGGAGGCATCACTGCTCTGCATATGGCAGCATTGAACAGACATGTTGAAAGTGTGCACTTGCTTTTGGAATTGGGAGCTTCCGTGTAGGTTACCGTAGAGGATGGAACTACTATTGATTTAATCGGTAATTATTTATTATCATAGTTCATCTGATAAAGTGATGTCAAATGTTTGCTTTGGAAATTCGGCATTTATTTTCCTACTATCTGTCGATTGTTTCCATATCAGTGTGCGCTTCTTGCAGGTTCTGGGAGCACTCCACTCCATTATGCTGCATGTGGTGGAAATGCACAATGTTGTCAAGTATGTTTTGATTTTATTCTCGGAGAAAATTGTATTGTTGCACTAAACATTGAAGTTCTATTTATTTTTTCTTGTGTATTTTTTGTTCGGTTCGCAGCTATTGATTGCCAAGGGCGCCAGTCTCACTGCCGAGAATGCAAATGGGTACGTATCGATAAATATTTGTTAAGTTTAATATGTCTAGGATTCTGAACCTTTGCTATAAAAATTAGACGTAATCATCGTTATATCGAAACTATGAGCAAGTTTGTCAGTGTAGGATTGTGTACGGTGTTTTGTTGTACTTACATTAATCAAACATAGTTTTTTATTGTCTCGACTCTCGAGCAATATGTATCTTAGATGGATTTCAAATTCTTTGATTTACACTCTTAATTTTTGTTTTGAAGATGGACTCCCTTAATGGTCGCACGTTCGTGGCATAGAAGCTAGCTCGAGGACACCTTAAAAATGCCTCCAGCGGAAAATTTACAAGTTCTTCCTTCACCGTACATATCTCTTCCATATCTTAGATGGATTTCAAATTCTTTGATTTACACTCTTAATTTTTGTTTTGAAGATGGACTCCCTTAATGGTCGCACGTTCGTGGCATAGAAGCTAGCTCGAGGACACCTTAAAAATGCCTCCAGCGGAAAATTTACAAGTTCTTCCTTCACCGTACATATCTCTTCCATTTATGAGCATCGTGAAAATTGCTAGGTATGTGTTTTCAGAACCATCGTGAATTGTAGCTTGTTCAATCCAACACCTTCGCTTTCTGCTATGATTGTGAATCATTACAAGCTGAGAACAGACATAAAAAGCTATAATCTCGGCGGAATGGGTTGTAGTGCAGGTCTTATTTCAATTTATCTAGCGAAAGATCTTCTGAAAGCGAATCCAAATTCGTATGCAGTGGTTTTAAGCACGGATAATTTAACTTTGAATTGGTATTTCGGAAACGAGCGATCAATGCTTCTTTTGAATTGCATTTTCTGAGTGGGTGGTGCTACTATACTGTTATCGAATAAACCATCGGATTTTTGTGTCATTCGTTAGAAGAAAAGTGTTGAAAGGTTCACATGTGAAGCCTTATATACCAGATTTCAAGCTTGCTTTTGAGCATTTTTGTATTCATGCTGGTGGAAGAGCTGTTCTTGATGAGATATAGAAGAATCTGTAACTGAGTGAGTGACATATCGAGCCGTCACAGATGACGCTGCATCAATTCGGAAACACTTTCAGTAGTTCTCTCTGGTATGAACTGGCTTATACAGAGGCTAAGGGTCAGGTCACGAAAGGCAACCTGGTCTGGCAAATTGTGTTTGGGTCGGGTTTTAAATGTAACAGTGCATTCTGGAAGGGCGAGTAATTTTTTGTTGTTCTTGGAAGTGCTATTTGGGGTGGTGCAGTGGCTAATCAGATAAAACATAGACATGGTGAGATCTTAGATTTTAAGGAGTCTGGTTCTGGTTTTGCTGGTCCTTTTGTTTTGTACTTTAGTAAATTGATTCTGTCATTTTTAGTAATGTAACTTTAGAAGTACTTGTTATTGACTTTATAGTAATGTTTGGTTACTTTAAAAATTTGAATGTGATTAGTGTTACATTGTCTTATTCAAATTAGATTTTAATTTTATATTATTGTTACTTTGATATTTAACAATAACTATAATATTTTAAATATGAATTAAACACAATTAATAATAAAAATTAAAAATCTGAGAGAGAAATTATTTGCGAATTTACAATTTGCTGCGACTTTTTCTGTGAAACTTCCAATTACCTGCGGCGTTTTCTGCGACAGTTTTAAACCGTCACAATCAACAATGATAACAAAAATCAAAAGTATATTCACGACAGTATTTAACTTTTGTCATTTCCAGTTTATGTCAGTTCCAACCAGTCGTGAAATAGAGTTCACGACAGTTTTAAACCGTCACAATCAACAATGAAAAAAAATCAAAAGGCTAGTAACGACGGTCTTTAACCGTCGTCATCTCCAGTTTAGGTCAGTTCCAGCCCGTCGTGAAATATAACAACGGTTGGTGTGACGGTTTTGGCAACCGTCGCTAAATAGCCTGGGGACACACGTTTCTGCGACGGTACTACAATCGTCGTAGAATATAATTGATGGTGGTTTTAACCGTCGTAATCTGCCAAAATAACCGTCGTAATCCATCGTTTTTCTTGTAGTGATAAACCCTTAGCAACATCCTTACACATAAGATGAGCGTATGGTTCCCATCGAGTACGACCGATGTGAGGGGTGTTAATACCTTCCCCTTACATAACCGGCTTCCGAACCCATCTCTTGGTTGAGAGACCATCTTATCCTTCCTCTTGGGATTTTCTCGATGTTTCCCTTTCCCTTTGGGATGAATAAAGTTCGATGGTGACTCTGTGATTTTTCGTGTAGCGACAACTGGTGACTCTGCTGGGGACGTTTCCCTATGTGAGTCAAACCTAGTTCTGTTTGTTATATGTGTGGATGTTTGCCTTTATCTTGCATTGTTTATTTCTTTATTGCTTCCTTGCTTATGTTTTATATCTATTGGGTATGGGTTATGAGGAAAAAGCTTTATACCCGAGCTTTGTTTAGTACACATTAAGCTAGAAGGTGGTTGTCTATTGACTTGCGAGACTTAGGACTCATTGAGTTGGTATGACTTCTCCACTCAGATTAGGCCCCTTTGGAGACTCTATTGTCTTATGAGCAGTCATAACGGTGTTATTGTTTTCGATTTGGGAGTCTGTGATTCTGAGAACCTTTAGAACCCTATTACAAAGGTTACGCAGACATAACACCAAGCTCGTCCCCTTGAAGGGATTGTTGTCTTACGAATCGTCGTTATGATGGGAAACTTTTGAGATATGATGTAAGGGACCTTATCTGAAAACCCTTGGAGTATCCCGTTGTAAGCCTATACACTACCTACTCGTGGGGAGAGATATATGATATGTGAACTCTTACCTATGTGACCATTTGATCAAAATGTTACAAGCTTGTTCTGAGGCATGCATAACACAAGCATCCATGCATCATTTTGCATATCATTCTTCAACAAAAAAAGGCTCATCCATCCTTTGTCCATAACCCGTAGTTGATTTCCCGACTCTTATTTTATACTTGAAGCAACTTTTGGAAAGATCATGAACTCAGGAGGGAAAAACCAATTTGTGACTAGAAGAGATGTTGAATTTATGAAAAACCAGTTGGACCAACTTCTGGAGGCTATAATAGGTTTGGCAAAATATTTAACGGCCTACAGTCCCTGGGAATGTCATTCCACCTCAAGTAAACAATCTTACTCAAGCTCAGCCTATGCAGATCCCTATTGAGAACCAAGTTATACAAGAACATCCTATTCTCCAAAATGGATATTCCTCTTCTCTTGATGTTGTGGAATATCGTAGTTTTGCATTCTCTGTGCCAAATTTCCATGGGGTGGCCCCTGTGATGAAAACCAAGGACCCACGGGCTGTTGAGATTATGGAAAGATGTTGTGTGTTGGAAGAGAAGTTTAAAGCCATGGAGGGGTGTGATGATTTTGAGTTGAATGCTTTGAACATGTGATTAGTATCTGGACTTATAATACCTCCAAAGTTCAAAACACTGAAGTTTGAGAAGTTCAGAGGGGATAGCTTCACAAAGCAATATTTAGTGATGTTTTGCACAAAAATGACGTCATATGCTCATAATGATAAACTTATGATTCACTATTTCCAAGACAGTCTGAGTGGGGCATCAGTGAGTTGGTACATGAAGCTAGAGAGTAGCCACATCCAATCATGGTTGTACCTAGCTAACGCCTTTATGAAGCAATACAAATATAATCTTGACATGGCTTCTAGCCGCATACAGTTGCAAGGCTTATCTCAAGAGGAAAACGGATCCTTTAAAGGGTATGCTCAGAGATGGAGAGAGTTAGTTGCTCGAGTTCAACCACCACTCTTAGATAGAGAATTGGTTGACCTGTTCATGGATACTTTACAAGGCCCATAACTGAAAAAGATGATTGGCAATGGGACATCAAACTTTTCTGACTTAGTATCAATTGGAGAACGCGTCGAGAATGACCTCAAGCATGGAAATATCCAAGACGCCTCGAACATCCTAGCTAGTGAAAGTGAATCAGTTATCAGTTCTGATGAAGAAGGGGAGGATGAAAGTAATTCCATATGGGAAACTCTACAAGTTCCATCTCTGATGCCTTATCCTTAGTACTCATGTATCTCAACTATTCAGAGCCAACAACCTTTTGGGTCTCCGTGTCAGATACCGTTCTATCCACAGGGACAATATCCTTCTACAAATCAAGGACCTCTTCAATATCAACGGTCATACTAACGTCACCATGCTCCGCATCATCTGCGTCACCACGCCCGACAAAGACCAAGAAAGCTAGAGAGACATTCCACTTTGCTACCAATATTATACAGTTAGGTATTTCCATATTTGATCAAAGGTGGATTGATAATGCCGAAGGGATTGAACCCAATGCCTTTTCCATACCCACCAGGCTTTAATACCAACGCCTAATGTGACTACCATGCTAGGGCACAGGGGAATTCAACTGAAGATTGTAAGGTGCTCAAGAGCAAGGTTCAGACTCTTCTTGACTCCAATATGTTCTCATTCATGCCTTAAGACATTCAAATCAATAATCCTTCACTTGGTCATGTGGGTCCATCAGTCCATGTTATGGAAAAAAATCATAGAGAATAGATGTGAAGATGATTATCAAACTGATTTCGATGAGAAACTTTGAAAATGGCTAGCTCAGTAGCAAATCAAGAAAGGAAATCCCAGTTCCCCGAAGCTGGCAATCTTTTAGATCATATCTTTACTTTGCATTTGTAGTTTCTTTTCTGTTAAGTGCTACATGCTTTGAGACATTTTCGTTTATAAATGGTTTTATTAATGAAATAAATATGCACATTTTTAATAAATCTATCCGTGTTCACTCATACTTTTTTTTATCGATATCAAACGCTTGTTTAAGCAAAGTCCAAGGGAGGATGATGAAATTGAAGGACATAAAACTTCTGGTTGTATGCTTTTGAATAAAACCGTGCTAATGATGTACATGCATTATTTCAAATCCCCAAACACCATAGATATAAGGAAGATAATCCATTGTGAACCCCGTTGAGCCCTGAAGTAGAAGTTTCTTTCTAAAAACAAAAAACCCTCAATCTTAATCTGGGGCAGGGTAGTTGTCAGTTAATTTGACTATGCATTCAAAATTCAAAAAGGGGGAAAAGATGGGTGTCTCGTTCGAGGATCAATCACATCTTATCCCTCACAAGATGTCGCATCTCACAAATCTATAATGGTTGTCCCACACCACCAAAAGAAATGAGGCATTCATAACCCTTACAAGTCAAACAAACAAGTGTCACACAATTTGTTCCAAAACGAAAAAGAGAATAAAAAAAAGAAAAAAGAAAGAAAACCTGCTAAGTCGAAAACTTGAAAATAAGTGACTTAGGAAAATTTTAGAGCATCCCGCTGGACATCAAAATCAACACACAAAAATAAATCCAGCCAAAAATTAGGGAACAAAAAAAACAAAAGAATGAAAAGAGAAAAGTGAAAAGGATTACCAGACA